AAAAAAAAAAAAAAAAGAAACAGAGAGAAGATAATTGGCGATTTCGTCGAGGTCAACGTCAGGAGCAGATTTATCAGGGACAATGAGAGTAACGTAGACTCTTACGCATTGAGAGCCCTTGAAACCACCGTAAATGCATGCTTGTTTCACGATCATTCATCCCGTTTCACTCTCTTTGTTTCGCACTGATTCGTGCGTCTGTGCGCGAGTGACGAAGAATTTTTTCTTTATCCATGCTTTAGGAAACAAAGTCGCTGCCCGTGCGATTTAATTAATCGATAAATTATAGAATATTGTAATTTTTTTCATTTGCTTATCGTATGATAATTGATTTAACGACCAAGTGCAGAATGTTATTTATGAAACAGTTTCAACTTGAAATTCTCTTAATAGTAACACGCGAGCGAATAAATCATAAATTATGCGTGTTACGCTGTTCATTCTGTACAATTATCTCACTTTCGAGAATTTTATTGACAAGTTATACAGAGTATCATAGGTTCTCTTCACTTACTCACATTCATTCTCTTAGTTTTGAGAGTTTCTCAAACTTTTCAGTTGATACTTGCAAGAGTATTTCAACCCTCTCTGACTCCGCTGACTTTTACAAAAGATTTTTATTCAACATATGAATATAAAAAGCAGCAAATTAATACTTGAATCATCGCTTTCTCATTATTGTTATTTAGACATTGAAAAAACGCTCGATGAAAATTGAAAGTCTATAGAGTGGCCACCGAATGATATTAAACAAAAATAACTCTTACAAACATAACTTTCTTTTTTTAATTTCTTGTCATTTTATTTGGTTAAATATGATTAATAGATTTTTTTCAGTATTATCTGTGAAAAACTAGAAAAAGGAAGATAAAAAAGATTGAAGACGACTTTTTCAAACCCTTCAGGTTTTCAATGGCCACTCTGTACATAATCTATCGTGCAGTAGTATAGTAATTGCAATGTGTAACGTATAGGAATAAAATAAAGGGAATATTTTATTCCACGTTGTTGAATAAGATTAATGAAGGAAAATAAAGTTTATTGTAATACGGATTGACAGAAACAAAAAAAAGGTCAATGCTGCGGTAAGAAGAAGAAAAAAAAAAAAAGATTAATACTCTCTGTATTCTCTATTTGCCCGCTATGTCTCTACTCACAACTCTCTGCTGGATTTTTTTACCATATGGATTCTCGAAACCTTCGTCCTTTCACACAAAAAGAAACACACGTACCCTTAATATTTTGTAGTCCTCTGGAGAAAGTTCCGGGCCATTTCCCATCTCACAAATGTGTCATTAATTTAATTTTTAATTAAACTTAAATCCTTCGTCTCTTGCAGACAAGCAGCAAGAATTGGACTTACCTTCCCTGCGGATCGACGATGCGGTTGCAGCTGCCGGAAGTGCGGATGCAAGGGCGGCGAAGAAGAAGGACCGGGCGCAGAGAGGCCCGGCAGCGATGTCCCACATAAGCGGCGTGAAACGGCCCCTCACGCACACGAACAGCTTCACTGGGGAACGTGTGCCGCTTTACGGCGTCGAGACGCCCCATGAGGAAGAGCTCGGCAAGGTAGGAACCTACCCTTTCCCCTCTAAAACCGCCATGATGTACACGAAACTGACGAACGAAACTTTGGATCAAGACGACCGTAATTGCTTCAATTGCGAGTTTTCTCTCGTACTCTCGCAACTTTGAAGACGATGTAGTTCAATCAAATTTACTGTCACTTGTTACTGTCTATCGTAGAATTGATTTAATCGGCGAACCTTCGTCGTTGTTTGCCGAATTAATTTCGCTGCAACAGAAAGAGTTGGAAATTCGCGGACTTGTTTATTTAAAGTTTACCGCGTGAAAATTTGAAACACCGAAGTTCCGAAGTTTCGTTTCCGTTTATCAATTACGCGATCCAGTGACTCAGTTCGAGTCATCGACGACACACGTAGGAATCGTTGAATAATAATTGTCGAGTAATCGCTCAAGTTCGAATTGAAAGTATAATTAATTAAACGTACCGTACACTTTCTACTCACGCGGGAAGCCTAGATTATGAATTCGGTGTTTATACAAAACGCTTGCACAACAGGCTGAGAAGTCTGTGAGCCCGAGAGCTCGGAATCTCGCGAGAAAACTTATTCTAAAATCTCGACGTTGAATTTTCATAAGTCCTTGACAGTGTTGTTTGTTATACATTGAACATGTGAAATTATAAAATATATATTATTACGTTCTATTGCTGTATAATATTATTAATAATATTTTTTAATGGGTATCTTACGCGATTTGGAAGAGGGAGTCACAGAGACTCTCTTTCAAGTCAACGTTAATTAAATTTTCACGAACCACTAAACGGATCGTGTAGCTTGCTATACAGCTCAGCTTCGCTTCCCTGCTTGTCCAATTAATATTAATCATGCCAATCGGGAACACGTGTAATCTCTAACACGATACAAAGACCGTTGGGCGGTTTACTTTCTTGTTTATATCTCGTTTATATTCGACAGCTTTTCTACTCTTGTCAGGTGCTAATTTCACGTATATTTGGAATTTTTATATTAGAAGAACCTTGAGAATTTTCAGTAACTTTAATGTTTTGACTTTGGTAGTCACGTTAATTTTAATCTGCCATCCTTCACTTATAAAAATCCTCGAAATCGTGATTTTCCGTTTAATTATATTCCAGTCCCGATACGCAATGTTCACCGGGGAATTTAAAGAAAGTAGAAGCCCTTAAATTTGCCATAAGAGAGTGTAATCGACGTTTACTTCGATCGATCCTGGGATCGGGCAGAAAATAACCGAAAGATAGAAGGAAAATTTCCACGATGACTATAACGATATATGTTTTCAACGAAAATCTCGTTTCTGTGCCCCGTTTCCTCTCGATTAATTGGGAAGCTGGGTAAATATATAACAATTGGGGCCACTGTTCGCCAGACTGGAAGTTTCCTCTCGATTTACAGAGCTCCCCCAACTCTGTAAAACTTGCGCTAATAGACACGTACGACGAGATAAGAATAAGGACGCAGGGACCAGGAACGATTTCACTTCTCGATTCATTCTGGCAAATATTTCTCTCTCTCGTAAAAGAAAAGGAAAGCTTTCTGCCGCGAAATACCAAACACTCTCATTTTACTCTACCTATGAATTTATTCTATTCTATTCTATTCCATTTTATCACTCTGTTTCCTATTTTGTTTTATCTAATGAAATACATTCATCTAAACGTTCTATTTCGTTCTATTTCTATTCTATTAAAATTCATCGAAATGAATTTCGAAAGACGCAGGTTAGAAAGGAGTGCAAAGCGTGTGCGATGATCGCAGGGCTCGCGGGAACAATGTTTCGCGACGGCGCTCGTTAATTAATCGTGGAAACGGCGATAATGGCAGCGATAAGCGATCGAAGAAATCAGGTTATCGTAGGCTGGCGACCTCGTCCCGAATTTTTCATCGGTGTTTGCTACTTATGCGCGCGCATACGATCGTGAATAGAGGCTAGGACGTTTACATTGGCCTTTCGATGGAATCAATGTCGATTCTATCAGTCTGACGGTGAATCACGCTAAATGATGGCGGTGTAATTAGAAGGGAACAGAAGGGTTCATCGA